TTCAGGTGAAGTTTTAGGGCTCGTGGCGGGTGGATAATTATGGTTCCAGGAAACGCATCAGAAGATTTAAACCTAGATTTGGGGCGCGGGAAAAATTCAAATGAAGATGTCGGTGAAGATTGAAAGTTCGGGGGATGAAGATTGAGATGAATATATGCGGTTCGGCAGAAGACTTCGGCGAATATGGATGTGAAAATGAAAGATTCGGGAGAAAGTCTTGAACGGAACATTTAATGATGATGCTTAGATTGCGGGAAAATTTTACGTGAAGATTTAGGCTCCGGGTGAACATTGAGGCGGCGATGTTAGTAAATATTGAAAGTTCGGAGGAATGTATGTGAGATGTTAAGGTCAGGGGGGGGGGGGGGGGTGGTGGTGAAGATCTAGGGTCCAGGCGATGATGAAGATCGAGATGGAGATGCACGGTGCGGGGGAAAATGCGGATGGAGATGCGCGGCTCGGGAAAGGCGGAAGGGCTGAAGAGTTGCGAAGATGTAAGGTCTGGGAAGGAGATCTAGATGGGGGTTCAAAGTTCGCGGAGGGCGAGGATTTAAGTGGAGATTTAAGATTCATGGGGGAATTTACGCGGTAATTTAGATGGGCACTGAGATCCCTGGAAGATTTGGGTTAAGACGCTGGTAAATATTTACGGCCTGGGGGAAAATTGAGATGGAGACCCGGGCGAAGATTTTCGGGCGGGGCGAAGACTTTGGTAAATATTAAAATGGAGATTCACGGTTCAAGGAGAGATTCCGGTGAAGTTGTAAATGAAGACTTAGGGTCGGGGGGGGGGGGGGGGTGTTATGGGCAGCCGCCGCCCGAAATCCGCACCGCAATCTTCACCCAAATTGCCGCCGAAATCTTCGCCGAAAATCTTCAACCAGACTGCCGCCAGCCTAGATCTTCGCAAAGATCTTCACCCTGACTCCCGCCAGCCAAAATCTCCCCTGAAATCTGCGCCCGGACTTCCGCCAGCCTAAATATTCATTCAATCTTCGCCAGGACCAGCGCCAGCTTAAACCTTCACCGAAATCTCCACCCAGAGCCCGCCGTCCGAACTCCTCCCCACATCTGAAACTCCCCCCCTCCGACTGAATCTCTCTCTGGCGCGCAGGCCGGGCTCGCATTCGCGCAATTATTCGCATTCGCGCCGCGCGCGGGCCTGCAGTGTATTGATGTCCCTCGCCGCTATTGTTGCGCTTGCCTACAGCGCGCGCTTCAGCCACTAATTCCAGAGCCCATTGACGCTCCACTGCAGGGGGGCATTTTTAATAGTAGGTGGCGATTTAAGGCCCCAGCGAAAATTGCAATGCAGATTCTCGGCTCGGGGGGAGATTCTGGGGGAGACCGATGTTAACCTGTAAATTGCGATGCAAAGTCAAATGGAATTTTAGGTGAAGATTTTGGTGAAGATTTACGGTCTGAAGGATTCTGGTGAAGATTTAGGGCCCGGCGGAGAGGATGAACATTCAGGTGGAGATTGAGGGCTCGCAGAGAGCATCAGGTAGAGATTTCGAGTCCACCAGCGATTTTGGTGAAGATTGAAAATCGGGGAGAGGATGTAAGTGGCCACCTAGGTCTTGTGAACAAATTGTTGTCGAGATTTCGGGTTCGGGGGGAACGGAAGCGATTTAGGTGAAGATTCCAGGTTCTTCGGGAGGAAATTTGGGTGGAGATTTCGGGCCCGGGGGGGGGTTGAAGACGAAGATTAGGGTTCGGAACGAGATTCAGGTGCATATTTGTGGTCCAGGAGCGATTTTGGTGAAGAAGATGAAACGATTGAAACGAAAATTTTGGATTCAAAGAAATTGTGGGTGAAGATCTAGGGTCCAAGGGGGGATGCAGATTTAGGTGGCGATTTAGGACCCAGGTGAAGATTAAAGTGAAGATTGAGAGCCCGGGGAAAGATGTTGGTGAAGATTCGCGGCCTGGAAAAGGATGCGATTCATGATCCAGGGGGATATGTTGGCGAAGAAGGCCCGGGGCAATATTAAAACAAACTAAGGATTCTTGGCCCGGGGAAGGATGTAGACTGAACTGAAGATTTGAAGTCCGACAGGAGATTCAGGTGAAGGTGCAGGTGAAGAGTGAGGCGAATGCGCGGCATGGGTGAAAATTTTAGTGGGGATATAGAACGCGGGATAGGATGGAAATGTCGGTGAACATTTACGGCCCGGGGAGAAAATTCAGTGAAGATTCGCGGTTTGGGGGGGGGTGGAGATTTAAGTGAAAATTTCAGGCCGGGGGGAGACGCAGGTGGAAATGTAGGGTCCGGGGGGAGATTTTGGCGATGACTTCGGGTGAAGGGGGGGGGGGGGAGATTTAGGGTAAGATTGAAGGCCCGGGAGAAGATTTCGGTTAAGTTTTACGGTCTGGGGGGGTCTGAAGATTTAGGTGAAGATTTAGGGTTCGGGGGGGATTTCGGTGAAGATTTAGGTGGCGATTTAACCGGCAAGAGCGCGAGCCAACACGTTGTTGAAGATTCACTGCGTGAGTTAAGCCGCGAGAGTGCGCGCGAGTGAACATGTTGGGGGAGATTCGAACTAATTTTTCAGCCGTGAGAGCGCGAATGAAGGCCCGGGTGAAGATTGCACATGAAGACTTAATCCGCCGACCCCTCGGGGTCACAGCATGTGAGATGCATCCCCCTCCCCAAACCCCTCCCTGGGGAGCCGTGTCTGACCGGCTGGGTAGGGGGGGGGGGGGGGGCACAAGTGCCGGCCGCGCCCTTGGGCCCCAAAACTGACGAAGAGAGCCTCCAAAGGCCCCCTGGACTGTCCAAGAGGGCCAGGAGTCGCCGAAAGATCGCTCGAAAACGCCAAGGACTGCCTCTAGATGGTCCCACGGGCCCCCAAAACGTCCCAAAAAGCTAATAAGAAGCGCCTCAAGAAGCCCTCTAAAGCAAAGCCGTATCGTTCCCAAGGGAAAACGTATATGTTCAGCGCATTCGCCTCTTGGGCTTTTACGAGGCCCACAACGGCCCAAGAAACCTTCAAGATCGCCCAAGAAGACTCCAAGACGGACCAAAAAGGCCCCAAGACGACCCCAGAGGCTTCCAAAACCGCCCAGGCGGGTCCCAGGACGGCCCCAACAGGAGGCCCACAGGGGGAACTCGAATGAACATTTCGAGAATTCGGCCCCGAAAAAACAGGAGGAGGCGCCAAGAGGACCCCAAGAGGTTCCCACGAGGTCCCCGAAATGCCTAAAAAGAAACCCATTAAGGCCTCAACACGACCCCCAAAAAGCCTCAAACGTGCTGCCAAGAAAACCAGAGAAACCCAAGAGCAGAGCCGCGATCCGCCAACCGCCCGACGAAATCCCAAGAAACTGAATCACCAATGTTCCCCAGAAATCACGCGCGTTCCGCAACCTCCATGCTTCACTCTTGCTGAGGTGGGGGTTTGGACGAAAAGTTAAGCAGTGAACGCGCAATTTAAGATTTAAGCGCAGATTTCAATGAATATTGCTCGCGCGGGACAACGAAACGCAAGCAACACGAGCGGCGCCTGCCCGCGCGAAAACAAAACGCCAAATAAGACGTGCGGCGCCTGCCCGTGCCAGAACAAAACGACCAGCAATTTCGGCGGCCCTGTGGCCACAACGCATGGGCGCAACGGCTATCGTTCAGAGCATGTAGACCGAAAACGAACGACCAGAAAACAAACAAACAACACTGTTCAGGTTCAGCCCTGAAGTTCGTTGTTGAGCGCATGACGCAACATACAAACTTGGCGGGGAGACGCGTGGTGCCTCCCCCGAAGTGTCACCCAGGCGCATGGTGCCCGGACCTTGATGCTCCTTCCCCCTGGCCAGAGCCACCATAGGGCTCGGCGGCGGGGCGGATGCATCAGCCACCAGCGGGCGATGCCACCCGACCGCACGGGAGGCCACCATAGGGCCTCCGACGGCGACCAGGCGCGGGCGGGGCGGACGGGCGAAAAGGACTTCATGGAGCCCATTGCCTTCAATGGAAATCGCCACCACCCCTGGCGCGGTCCGTGCGGCGTCAGGGGGGGGCTGCCCGCGCGCCCACTCTCCCACCATAGGGGAGGGTGCGAAGTCCCTGCACGCGGGGCGGGGTGTGCAAGGTGAGACATCATAGGTCCCCCAAGCAAGCTAGGTGCGCTCGCGTCATATCTGACGTCCTACCCTCCCTCCAATTCCTTTTCCATGGCGTATATGTTCTCTCTCTTCGCAAACTCGGATGTCGCAGCAGGGCATAGCATTTCATGGCACAGCATGGTGTTGAAGACGAACGCGCAGCATGACATAGCATGGCGTGGCGACGCTCCGAAGTGGGGGGGGGGAGGCTTCCGCGGCCCAGAAAATCAACGAAGCGACACCGAATGTGTGATAACTTCCGATGGTCTCTTCGGGAGGCCGTTTGCAAGATATGGGGGCCTATTTGGAAGGACCGAGAACCATGCCGTGGCATGGCATTGGAAATCATGACGTCAGCGCTGCAGCGGGAGCACGATTCGGAACGAGCGAAGCGCGGAAATGAGGCCAGCGCTGCAGCGGGAGCACGATTCGGAACGAGCGGTAGCCAGAAAATGAGGCCAGCGCTCCAGCGAGAGCAGCATTTTGAAAACAAAGAAAGCGGAAGCGCGGAAAAAAAATGAGGACGCGTAGCCTGACATAGCATGGCGTGGCGACGCCCCAAAGTGGTGGGGATTCTGCGGCCCAAACAATCGAACATCGGCACCGAATGTGGAATCACTTCCGATGTTTTTCGGGGTGTCCTTTTCTAAATTTGGGGGCCATGTGGAAGGACCGGCAAACATGCCGTGGCATGGCGCTGGATCACCAGAACGGCCGTCTTAGAATACAGGCACGACGTGTGAAAACAGGACAGCTTCAGCCGGATATGTTCTGAGAACGCTTCGTGCACACCAGCAGAGGCTCTGAGAGCATTCTCTGGTGGGCCCCTGGGCAGGCCGGGACGCCTCGCCACTGCTCGAAGGATGCGGGCGCCGCCCGCCGGGTGACCGCCGCCCCGCCTCGTCGAAGCTGTGCACCTCGCCCTTCGAGGTCTTCAGCTCGTCCTCGGGCCGAGGGCGGGCCGCCCTCGGCCGGAGCAGGCCCGGGTGTCTACCAAACTCGCCATCGCTCGGACGTCCATTCCTCGTGTATTATTCGATTTCGTGCGTGTTTTTTTTTTTCGCCAAATGGTCAAGGATGGTCCTCGATGGCCGTCGCCGAGAAAACATGCACACGTCCGAGCGATGCCAAGCAGAGGTTCGCGCGTCGCGCCCCGCGGTGCGCGGCTCACGTGTGGCGGCGCGCACGAGGGGGCACATTCGGACCCAGGACAGGAGAACATGCTTCAGGAGCACGAGGCCCCGCGCCATCCCAAAACGAGGGACATTTTCGAGGGTGTCCTCCCCCAGGATGCGCACGAGGATCCCGCGGGCACGAAGAGCGCGAGGGTATTTACCCTCCCCGAAGCGACCTCGATCTTCTATCTCGGTCCGACTGCAGGGGGAGGGGGGGGGGAAGGCTTCTTAGACAGAGGCTGCTTCTTAGAAGGCGCGGGCCTCACATCTACAGACGAGGCCCGCGCCTTCTGAGAAGCGGCCTCCTTCTGAGAATTCTTCCCACCTCCCTCTTACCCCCCCTTCCGAGCGTGGGGCAACTGTGAGCCCACGAATATCAGACCTTCCTTGAAGCTGCATCGGCACGGGGCAGAACGCGAATCGGAATCGACCGTGCCGGGATGCACATCAGTGCCACGGGCCGCCTTGGATCGTGAGGGTGTCGGGATCGAGGCGATCGGGCCACCCCGAACTAACTTCGAATCAACATGTCGGGTCGGATCGACGCGGATCCTCGGGTGCCTCACCCGCTGCTGCCTCGATCACTCCCTGCGTTCTTCCTGCCCTCCCGCCCTGCCCGCGTCCGTGCGACCCCCAACCGAATCCCCTGCGCTGTCGATGACGATGACGATGACGACGACGGCGACGACGACGACGACGACGATGTCGTCACATCGTTTGGCACAAAGGGGAACGGGTACTGAGGGAAACGGGTCCTGGACCCTGGGGACTTCCACCAAGATGAGTTTTTCATCCTCAACCATTTTCTGACCTGGCCATCGCTCGGACGTCCATTCCCTGTGTTTTTTTTGGTTTCGTGCGTGGCTTTTTCGCCAAATGATCAAGGATGATGCTCCTCGATGGTCCTCGCCGAGGAAAAAACGCACACGTCCGAGCGATGCCAAGGGTCCTGGACCCTTGGGCCTTCCACCGAGATGAGTTCTTCATCCCGAACCATGTCCCGGGGCGCGTGGAGTGCCCAGGGAGCTCGAGAACGGCCAAACACCTCAGGGCCCCTTTCCCTCAGAGCCCGCTCCCCTTCGGGCGAGTCGTCTTCGTCCACGGCCCCGAGCTGGGATCCGTGCGCTCTGTGAACACGAGGTCGAGCTTGGCCGCCCTGCCCGTCGCCTGGCGGGCTCGGCGGTCGATCCCGCTGCTACTGCCGTGCGCCGCCGTGCGCCGCCGTGCATGCTGTCGTCGTCATCGTCGTCGTCGTCGTCGTCGTCAACGTCGTCGTCATCGGCGACGGCGGCGTCGTCGTTGAACGTGCTGGCCCATTCTCTTTGCAGCTCTTGCAACTGGATGCATGGAAGGCGGACCCCTCATCCTCGTCGCCATCGTGTCCTACGAGGGTGGTTGCGGTAGCGTGACGATTCAATCAAATAATGCAGGAAGGTGACCCCGACCAGTGTATTTTCAGCAATCTGTGTGGAGCAACCCGTGTGGTGCAGTCTAGGTGTTGCAGTCTAAGCTGCGCCCTCTATGCTGCGCAGTCGATGTTGTGTAATCATGCAATGTATGCTCTACAACCTCTTCTGTTGTGCAATCTACAACGTGTGACTTACGTGGAACAAACTAGGGGAAGCAATATTTGTGTTGCAATATGTGTATACATATATATATATACATATATGTATAGATGTGTGTGTGTGTGTGTGTGGAAACCTATGTCGTGCAATCTACGTCGTGCATCTATGTGTAAAAAAACTTGGAGCGGTAAAATCCACAGCTGGCGCACAGTGGCCTCCAAGATGGCTGAAGATACCTCGCGATGGCTCAAGATAGCGTCCGACGGACAACCAAGTGGACTCAAAGCGGCCCTTAGACGGTTTCAAGTACCCTCCGAGCCCTCCAAGGACCCTTCCAAGAGGCCAACAATATTCCAGAACCGACGGAACATCCATGGATGTTGCTCGCCTTTTCGCTGCCGATGGGCTGCCGAGGCCTGGCGATGGCCAAAGCCGGTCCAAGAGAGCCCCAAAAGGGGCCCAAGAGGGCCCCAAGAGGCCCCAGAGCTCCCCGAAAGAGGGCCCCAAGAGGGCCCCAAGAGAGCCTCAAGAGGACCCCAAAAGCGTCCCAAGCGGCCCCGCGCGGGCCCCAAGAGAGCCCCAGGACGGCTCCAAGAGACTTCCGAGAGAACGCGCCCAAGGCGGTGGTTACAGTGTGCGCCTGTGCGCTTCCCTGATCAAGGTAGCTCGCCTGGCGATCTGCTTCCGGATGGGGTGGTGGGGATGCGCAAAGCGTCCAGGACTTGATGCGCCTGCTGAGAAACCTATGGCCTCCTGAAAAGCTTCCAAAAACCGCGCGCAAGCGTTGCTTGAAACCTGATGGTGCAACACCATGTGTATTGATACGTTGTCGGGGCAATCAATGTTGAGGTCTGCGCGGAACCGAATGCTTTTGACCAGGTTTCGGAATGCGCGCGCAACGACGAACGCGCATACATTTCTCATTCTAGAGGTTGCAAACAATTTTTGCGACAACACGCGCGCAAGGCCGTTCGAAAGATTTCGACATGCGCGCGCCGGAGGCACGTGTGGCAATTAACGCGTCGTAAACATAAGCGAAACGCCTGGTATCCTCGAGTATCCGCAACAACGCGAACGCATGCTCTTGTGAAGACCCTCGTTGCGAAACCAGGTTCTTTCGATTTTGAACTCCGCACTGACCTTGCGGGTCTGGAATGATTCCTGGATGCGCGCGCGACGACTCGCGCGGGAACACTTCAATTCGATTCTTTGTGCTTGGGATTCGTGGCGCCTGATGGTTGGTTGATAACCGAATGCGCCCGTATTGTTTTTTGTTGTACGGAGATTGGGGGAAGGGTACAAAAGGACTGCTGGGATGGTATGGGCCAATGTTTCGACTGGGCGATGGGCAGAAACATATGTGAATTGCAACGCAAAAAAAACGCGCCTCTAGGTCAGGCGGGATTAGATCATAGTGCTGCTCTCGAGAAGAAAAATGACATTGAAAAACTTGGCGGTGTCTGCTAGCGGAAACATCCCACCAGCCCGCCGGCAACTTGGCTTGCACGACCCATGCGGCGGCGAATGCGATGAGAGCTCGGCGTTGGCTGGTGCATCCCTGAAGCCGCGCCAGCCCGCGCATGCTGGCACGCACAGCTGCCTGCTAGTTTGGTGCGACCGACGCGGCCGCGGTGGCGCTGACCGCTGGGCACATCCCAGCGGGCACTTCAGTGCGAGTCGGTGACTTGGGCGGGCGCGGTATTAAAGCGACGTCGGCATCGGTAGTAACGGTGATGATCGTAGCGATGCTGGTCACGGTGATGGTGATGACGACGGCAAAACCAATGACGGCGCCGAGTTTGATCACGCCGATGACGATGCGTGTGTCCTCGCGTCGGGGAGGAAGGTTTTGTAACGCGTTTGGCACGCGCGCGGCCGACGCGCGCGAGCGGCCCGCATTGCAGTCTTTGACCAAGATCGTGCCTCCCTGGCACGCGCGAAAGGCCCGTTTGGCTGAATCTGACGAAAAGCGACGGTTGTCTTCAGAATTCGCAACGGTGCGCGCGCGCAGACTTCATTTCGAAAACGGATATTGCAAAACCGTGCTCGGGGCACTCGATCATGAAATCGCTGCGAAGCCAGGGGGATTTTGAAGGATTTTGGCATGCGCGCGCGACGACGCGCGCGCACTTTGTCCCATGAAAAAGATTTTGGAGACTGACAATTATCGATGAACGAATGTGCTCTTAGTGCTTTTGGCAAAAGATATGGGGGGGGTCGGTAACCGGCCTGCCTGGAATGGTCTGACCTGATTGTTAGGATGGGCGGGTGAAACAAATCTGGAGATAAAACAAAACACCATTCGAAAAAAAGGTGACCCGTTAGATCCGAAGAGGGGGTCCGAATGTTCTCTACGGTACCAGGATCTATGTAGTTCAGCAGACGCTGTGGGTCCACGCGTTGCAATCAGCATCGAAAAGAGCTGGAGCCGCCAACTCTCCGGATACAAAAGGGCCCTCTGGAGGCCCTCAGGGGCCCCTTCCCTGCACCCCTCGCTGCCATCCTAATTTGCCGCCCCCCAACTACGCGACTCCCCACCCCCGCGCAGTCTGTTCGGCGCCGCCTTTGCGCGGCGCCAGCGTTGAACCGACAGTTCTTGCGGCGGCAATCGCGTTGCCGGGGTGTGCCGCTGCAGGGGTCATTCGGCCGTCCGCGCCGGGGCGCCCAGCTCCGCAAAGGAAAACGCTCTGGCACGCAGGCGCCGATATCTTCATCGGGCCCTTGCGGCTCCCATGGCCTCCCGCCCCGCCCAACCTTTGGAGCCCCTGCCACATCGCGCGCCGGGCTCCGCCGGCAGAAGACTCCGGAGCCTTCCCCTGGCCCGGAGGCGCTTCCCGTCTCCTCCCTCCTCCCTCCTCCCTCCTCCCTTCCCGTCATCCGCCACCGTGCCTTGTGTACATTGAGGCGTGGACGAATGCCAAGGTCTGTCTGGTCGGGTTTCTTGAATTTTCGAAGGGCCCTCCCCCCAAGTGCGCACCCGCTCGCATCGTCTCCTCTTCAGGTTCGCGCGCTCGAGGCGCAGATGCCTCTGAGACGGCCCAATGAAGCTCAAGAGCGGGCCACGTCGGCAGACGGCCCAAGATGGCCTGAAGACGGCCCACGAGGCCGTCGAGGCGCCCCAAGAGCTTTTCCAACCTGGTCTCGAGAGGCACACAACATATAGTTCCCATAGGTTTTGATACGTTTTTCGAGTCTCGCCTTTTCGAGATTCCGACGCCCCAAGACGACCCAAGAGGCCACCAGGACTGCCACAAGACGGCCCAGGAGACCCACCAGAGAGCCCCAACATGGCCCCAAAAAGCTTCAAGACGGCCCAAGAGGTGCCCCCGAATGCTAAAGAGGCCCCCGAGAGCTCCAAGAAGGCCCCAGAGGTCTCCAAGACTGCCCCAGAGCCGCCAACGACTGAGAGCCCTAAGACAACCCAAAGAAGGGCTCAGGAGTAGGAACACGAACAATGGCGATCTGCTCTTGGATGGGCTGGTGGGGATGCGCGAAGCGTCCAGAATTGGATGTGCATGTTGAGAAACCTATGACTTTCTGAAGAACTCACCACAAGAACGCGCGCGCAAACGTTGTTTGAAACCTGGTGATGCAAAACAATGTGTTTCAATCTGTTCTCGGGGCAACCAATGTTGAGAATCCAAGCCTTCTGCCCCACGAGGCCCCCAGCGGGCCCCCTTGCCCTCTCGAGCAGCTGCCACCCAGAACGGTGCGCTGGCACGGTGGCGGAATGGCCGAAGACAGCTGGAGACCAGTGATGTTGTCAGCACGACTGGGCTGAGCGTGACAATCCAATGATGATGCCGAAAAGCGGGCAGTGATGGGCCGGAGAGGGAGAGGGCGAGGGCTGCGGAGAGGGCGAGGGCTGCGGGCGAGGGATGAGGGAGAGGGCGAGGAGGAGGACGAGGAGGGAGAGGGAAGCGCTGCGTGAAGGGCGAGGGAGGAGGAGGGCGAGGGAGGAGGAGGGAGAGGGAGGAGGAGGGAGGCCTGCCTAAAGGGACAGGGGAGGGAGAGGGAGGGAGAGAGGGAGAGGAGGAGGAGGAGGAGGAGGAGGAGGAGGAGGAGGAGGAGGAGGAGGAGGAGGAGCGATGCCGATTCAGGGGGAGGACAAACAAGAGGGCGAGGGCTGCGGGCCCTCATCGACTCGTCGATCGCTTCCTTGCACTTTGGGCTCAGCTGCACCTGCGCGCGCAAGTCCGTGATCTGATCGTCATCGTCATCACATCCACCACCGTGCCTTCGGGCACGGAGTGGGCGTGCCCTCCTACAGTCAAGTCACCCCGTAGAACCGCCACCGTGCCATCGTCACCGTCATCATACCCGTCATTGTCATCAATCACCGTCATCATATCCGTCAACCCGTATAACCTCCTGAAGTCATCGTCATCATATCCGCCACCGTGCCATCCTGCAAACAACCCCTATAATAAGGATGCGCGGTGAGGATGCACGGGCCTTGGAAGGCCATGTCGACGCTTTGGGAGCGGGGCGCGGGCAGCGAAAGCGGCCAGGGATGGGCCGAAGGGAGAGGATGCAAGGACACACTTGGGAAGGTTGCCCATCCTGACTGTGCGGGTTGACTGTACCCCTCAACTTACGTAGGTCGAGCGTGTCCCACTACAGACGGTTTTTGGACGCAAAAAAACATACCCCCAATATGATCAAACATAGCACAAAAATGATCGAACAATAGTCCCCCGAGCATGTTTTACTATTTTTGAACTGTCCCCTTGTAGAGGGACAGGCCCGACTTAACCCTGACCCTCTAAACTCAATCCCTGCTCCTGAGGAGTCTCTTAGAGGCTCGGACCCCAAATTCTGCAACATCTCTGGGGACCCGCCGCCGCTCCCCGCTGGACTTCTTCGGGGCCAAGAGAGCCCCCAGACGGGCCAAAAGGGCCCCATGAGGCCCCCCAAAATGGTAGAAGAGGGCCCCGAGTCGCCGAACGATCGCCCCAAGATGCCCAGGACGGCCCCAAGACGGCCCAAGAGGCCTCCTACGAGGTCTCCAAGGAGCAACACACATGCATTTTCCTCAGGTGTTTCAAAGAATTTGGCGTTCTCGCCTTTTCGGCTTCCCGACGCTCCGACCCCAAAGGCTTCCAAGAGGACCCCAAGACGGCCCAAGCGGGCCCAATAGGCGGCCAAGACGACCCAAGGGGGCCCAAAGGCGGCTCCAAGAGGGGGTCCAGATTGGGAGCCCGAGCGGACATTTCGAGCTCTCGGCCCCGATGGGCCCCCAGGAGGCCCCAAGAGTCTACCAAGAGGCCCCCAAAGGCCCCAAGAGACCCCCCAAGAGACCCCCCAAGAGGCAACCAAGAGGCCCCCAAGAGGCCCCCCGAATGCCCAGGCCCGAGAGCGTTCCGAAGAGACCCCAAGAAACATCCCTGAGAGCTTTGCCCCATAACTCAGGCTCGGTGCCGGGATGGGCCGAATGCCATCAGATATTGCACAACGTATGCGCAAGACTGGAAGAGAAGCGATGGGGGACCGGCACAAAACAATTTGGGCAAGCACGCCATGCCCGGCCCCACGACGTCCGATCCCTCCGTGCAGAGTCGCACCTCGACCGCGCAGTTGCAACTTTGGAGCGAGCGTGCAGTAATCGGGAGCGGCCAAGAGGGGGGTGTCCAAGAGGGGGGGGTGCAAAACATGACCGGCGGCATGTGCGCGGCCCAGCGGGGGGGCTAGGGACATAATGAAATAAGAAGAGGCGCCATGAAATCTGGGGAAATATCATGGCCCACGCCATGATATCCACCCCCCCCTAGTCATCACCCCCCTCTTTTCCGCCCCCGAAGTAAATGCAGCGCCTGCGCGGAACAGTCGGAGCCCCGTCGCCTCGCCATACTTCTACGGTCGCACGGAGCGGCGAGTGAGGCTCGCGACGGCGGCTCTACACCCTGCGAAATGCTTAAGAAATCACGGGTTAAGAAATTCATAGTCTCAGAACGTGAATAAAAACCCAGAATTTCTATTCAAATCTTAGGATTTACATTGAAACATTAAGAATAATCGAGCCTCTGGCCGAAAACTTAGGTTTTCTTAAGCATCGCCTACGGTGTACCAGACGGGAGAAGCTGGAGGTCGCGGAGGCACGATGAGCGCCTCCATCGCGGCACCGAGGGCAGAGCGGCACCAGCGGCAGGAGCTCGTGAGGGAGGAAGCCACACAGCACCACTTTGAGGTCGGGCACGTCCCCCTGCATGCGGACTTGGGAGACAATTAAAGATCTCCCCCGAAAAAAAACGCCCCGAACCAGTTTCTTAGTAGTACTAGTGCTCTGATGAAAAACCGTCCCCTTATAGTATTGTTGACTGTGTTTGAAGATCCTTCCTGTAGAGGGACATGCCCGACATAACACTGCTTGATGGCGTTCGGGGGTCGGGCCATGGGCAACGCCAGCAGGAGGCGGAGGACCAGAAGCGACAGGACGGGCAAGCCCACAGACTTCCAACGCCACGCATTTCCCAACCATCCTGTGGTGATTGGGCATCGTGTCGAAGACACAACGCCCCGCGTCCACACTCACTCCTCCCCCTCCTCCCTCCTCCCTCCTCTCATCCTTGTCTTTACGATTGCTCCCTTCGTACTTACACATCTCGGCACACCCAAGGTGCGAATACGTTCCCGCGCCTATTTCGGCACACCCGTAACACGTTTCGTGGTTTCACAAAACGCTCCACCGAAGGCTTTTGTGGCAAGGTTATCATGCGTCCGCCGTCTCGGCACGCCCCTCACACGTTTCGTGCCCCTAGAGGGAAATCCTCCGGAGGCTCTTGTGGCAGGTTTCGCATGCATCCCCCCGCCCATTTCGGAACACCCTTCAAACGCTTCGTGACTCCACAAGGAACTTCACAAAAAGGCCCCTGTGTCAGGATTCGCATGCGTCCGCCCGCCCAATTCCGGCGCACACCTCACACGTGTCGTGGCCCACAAGCAGTTCCTCCTTCCTTCGTCCCACCTGCCTTGCGGTACTCACATTTGAAAATTGGGTCTTTCGGCACGAACATTCTGGTGGCGTGAGCCGTCAAGTTTTTCGACCCACCCTCCGGGGGGGGGGGCTGTTTTGATCAGTGGTGTTTCGCCACCCTTCTGTGTAGTTGGGTCCCCGCTTTCTCTCCGCAGCGCCGCCCGTTTCCTCATGCCACACCCCTCCTCATTTTTTCCCGACCATCATTGGTGTTGGGCTTTCGTTTTGAAGAGGCGGTCCACGCGTTCCCTCCTTCCTTCCTCCCCACCTTCCGCCTCCCTCCCTGCGCTTGCCCTGCCCAGTGCAGCTTTTCGGGGCCCCATAGGGAGCTCCACCGAAGGCGCCGCTGGCAGGGTTAACGCGGCGGCCTCGGGCCATTTCCCCACACCCCTCACGAGGATCGTGGCCCCATAGAGAGCTCCACCCGACGCGCCACTGACGTGGTAAGCGTGGCGGCCTCGGGCGATTTCGGCACGCCGTTCACGAGGATCGTGGCCCCATAAAAGGGGGCTCCACCCGAGGCGCCGCTGACATGGTAAGCGTGGCGGCCTCGGGCGATTTCGGCCTGCCGTTCACGAGGGTGGTGGCCCCATAGGGAACTCCAACAAAGGCGCCAGTGGCAGGGTTCGCACGGCGGCCTCGGGCCATTTCGGCAAACCCCTCACAGGGGTCGTGGCCCAGAAGGGAGATCCACCAAAGGCCCCCGTGGTAGGGTTCGCATGGCGGCCTCGGGCCATTCGGCGCACCAATCACAAGGATCGTGGCCCCGTAGGGAACTCCACCGATGGGCGCCAGTGGCAGGGTTCGCGTGACGGCCTCGGGTCCTTTCGGCACACCTCTCACGAGGATCGTGGCCCCATAGGAGCTCCACCGAAAGCGCCAGTGGCAGCCCCCCTCATGGCTTTCAGAACCCTCTCCTGCTTCTGCTCCTTGATCAGGGGGACGCCGTCTTCGTCGTCGCCCGTGCCCGCGAAGACGGCCACGAACGTGTCCATGAACATGTCGGGCTCCGGCGGGAAGCCGTGGCCACATAGGGGGCGCGGGCTAAGATGGTATTCACAACCGCGTATGGTTGGGTCCTTCGCCAGGCAAGTTCTGCCTGGGCCACGATACCCCGCGACATTCTCAGTGCGAACGGGGGCGGGGCACGCGGCGTGGGCGCCCAGGCAGGCGACAGTCGAGTGCCTGTGAACTGGCGGGTTGCACCCAGAAGAGGCCAATGTCCCCAAACTCGGATGGCTCCGTGCCTCATCAACTTCGCAAAACGGACACATGAGGAAGAGGAGGGGGAGAAGGAGGAGGAGGAGGAGGAGGAGGAGTCCGCGCCGACGGAGGCTCCTTCCAGAATGCTTCGCCAAGCCTTTCCACGCCTTTCGGGCGCCCAACTATTCCGGGATTTTGACGATTATAGACTACACATAGTGCTGGTGGCAATCCAAAAACACCTCGACGCGAATTCTTTGAACTTGCACCTTGTTCCGGCAAGACTAACCGTTTTCGAATGGGCACCGGCGGTAAACCGTTAAGCTGGTTACCGCCGGAACCTCGTAGAGCTCCTTGCACATGTAAGAATGTTCTGAATGCAGACAGAAAGCTCTCTGGAGCATAAGCGTGAACACTCTAACATTTGATTCTTTCGGTTTTAAAAGGAAGTCGGTCCGTAAGGTGTTTCAAAAATATTTGCAGCTAGAGACCTGGAACAAATTATTGTTGACGTGTCATAGTTTACGATAGGCGGGAAACATGAAACTTCTGAACATGAAAAGTTAAATATCTCAACACATTCTTTTTTAGAAAAAAACGACTCCGCTACCACTTTTTATCTTCTTTCCGGGACGGTCAACTAGCTCCACGGCCCACGCAGCCATAACCCGCAGTGCCTCGGCGACATCGACCCAGAAGGCGCAGGCAGGCAGCGCCGGGGAAACAGTGCGTGCTTGGGGAACTCGGACCGGAAGAGTTCTCCCCAGCCCACGGGGGTTTTTGCGGGTGCTTTTGCACCCGGCCTCCAGGAAAGGAAAAGGGCCCCCCTAGGGACCGCGAAGCCTGGGACGCTTTCCTGACCGCAGCGCCTGGATCTGCTTAGCTTTGACAGTGGTGCAGCCAGCACGCAAGTCACAGGGGTGCCTAACTGTTGTGCAGCTATCTATGGCAGCGTGTGCAAAACAATTAACCGACCGCGGGCGATAATAACCTCCCTGGGGTAATAAAGTTCGCGGTTCCCGCGGGGATGATAAAGGATTTTCCTGGGGAAGGTAAATTAACGATGATGATGATGATGATGATGATGATGATGATGATGATGATGATGATGATGATGATGATGATGATGATGGTGATGACGACGATGATGGAGGAGGAGGAGGAGGTTAAACCAGGCGCACGACAGAAGCCTGACTCGAGCGATCTCGAGGCCCGTGGCTACTTGCCCGCAGAGGCGCACTACACAAGGATGACTCGAGAAATCTCGAGGCTGCGGAAGCTGGTGTGGTGAGACCACCATGGCCATGCTCAGCGCTTTTGATGCTGTTGCTAATCAACATGATATGATAGCAACCTCGATCCCCGCAACTTTTCCGTGGATGATAAAGTTCGGCCTCCGCGCCTTCCCCACATATAGATCCCTGGTCGGGGATAAAGCAAATAGAGGGGGTGAGGGGGGGGGAGGTACTTTATTATCGCCTGCGGTCGGTTAGCCTGGCGAAGGACCCAACCATGTGCAGCTGCAAATATCGCAGGAAATGCCACTCTCATCATAAGCAGCGCACCGCGAAAGGGATGGAGCACGGGGCAACGCGGATGGGAGCCCCGAAACGTGCATGAGTTGTGCCGACATGGGCGGGGGGGGGGCGCATGCGGGCGTTGCCACTGGGGCCTTCGTCTAGAGCTCCCTATGGGGCCACGAAGCGTGTGAGGGGTGTGCCGAAATCGCCCGAGGCCGGGGCCTTCGGTGCAGCTCCCTGTGGGGCCACGATCCTCGTGAGGGGTGCGCCGAAATGGCCCGAGGCCGCCATGCGAACCCTGCCACTGGGGCCTTCGGTGGAGCTCCCTATGTAGCCACGGTCCTCACGAGGGGGGTGCCGGCATGACACGCGGAGGGCAGAGGCAAGGATGGGAGGATGGAGGAGGGGAGGGCGAACGCTGGGCGCCGTCTTCACAAAACGCGGACCCAACACCACAGGATTGTTGGGACTTAGCCTGGCGACGGACCCAACCACGTGCAGCTGCGAGTGTCGCAGGATCTGCCCCTCTCATCGTAAGCAGCGCGCCGCGAGAGAGATGGAGCACGGGACAACGCGGATGGGAGCCCCGAAACGTGCGTGGGGTGTGCCTGGGTGATCGGCAAACGCCAGTCTTCCACTGGGGCCTTCGTCCAGACCTCCCTACGGGGCTACGAAGCGTGTGAGTGGTGTGCTGAAATCGCCCGAGGCCGCCGTGCGACAAAGCCACTAGGGCCTGCGATGAAGCACCCTGTGGGGCCACGATCCTGGTAAGGGTGCGCCGACATGTCCCGAGGCCGCCAAGCGAACCTAGCCACTTGGGATTTCGGTGGAGCTCCATACGGGGCCACTATCCCAATCGCCCGAGGCCGCCATGCGAACCGTGCCACCTGGGCCTTCGGTGGAGCTCCCTACGGGGCCACGATCCTCGTCAAGGGTGCGCCGAAATCGCCCGAGGCCGCCGTGCGAACCCTGCCACTTGGGCCCTCGGAGGAGCTCCCTATGGGGCCACGATCCTGGTGAGGGGTGTGCTGAAATCGCCCGAGGCCGCCATGAGAACCCTGCCACTGGGGCCTTCGTCTACAGCTCCCTATGGAGCCACGATCCTCATGAAGGGTGTGCTGAACTCGCCCGAGGCCGCCGTGCGAACCCTGCCACTTGGACCTTCGGTAGGGCTCCCGATGGAGCCACGATCCTCGTGAGGGGTGTCCTGAACTTGCCCGAGGCCGACGAGCTCCCGATGGAGCCACGGTCCTCGTGAGGCGTGCGGCGGTATGGCCCGAGGCCGCCAGGCCAACCCTTCCACTGGGGCCTTCGGTGGAGCTCCCTATGGGGCCACGATCCTCCTGAAAGGTGCGCCGAAATGGCCCGAGGCCGCCATGCGAACCCTGCCACCTGGGCCTTCGGTGGAGCTCCCTATGGGGCCACGATCCTCCTGAGAGGTGCGGAGGAATGGCCCGAGGCCGCCATGCGAACCCTGCCACTGGGGGCTTCGTCTGGAGCTCCCGATGGAGCCACGGTCCTCGTCAAGGGTGCGCCGAAATCGCCCGAGGCCGACATTGCCACTTGGGCCTTCGGTGGGGCTCCCTATGGGGCCACGGTCCTCGTGAGGGGTGTGCTGAAATCGCCCGAGGCCGCCATACGACTCCTGCCACTGGGGGCCTTCGTCCAGAGCTCCCTATGGAGCCACGATCCTCGTGAGAGGGGTGTGACGAGATGGCCCGAGGCCGCCATGCGAACCTTGCCACGCGGGCCTTCGGTGGCGCTCCCTATGGGGCCATGATCCTCGTGAGGGGTGTGCTGAAATCGCCCGAGGCCGCCATGCGAACCCTGCTACTGGGGGCCTTCGTCCAGGGCTCCCTATGGAGCCACGATCCTCGTGAGAGGGGTGTGACGAGATGGCCCGAGGCCGCCATGCGAACCTTGCCACTTGTGGCCTTCGGTGGGGTTCCCTATGGGGCCACGGTCCCCGTGACGGGCGGGCCGACATGTTTGACATGCGGAGGGCAAAGGCAAGGATGGGAGGAGGGAGGAGGCGGAGGAAGGAGTGAGTGAGACGTGCGGCGCTGTCTCTTCAAAACGAGGACCCAGCACCACAGGGAATAACTCCTCGCCCTGTAGCCAGCAACCTGGCCACCTGAACGAGTGGGGTGGGTGGGGGAGGGGGGGGAACAGAGCAGGTGGCGGAGGGGGGACAAGGATCCACAAGCAGAACCTGTGGCGGCTCTCTGGTTCAAGAAAAGACGGGCGCAAGCAAAGCATTGCCAACAAGCGCGCAGGGAAACGACGGGCGCAAGCAGCGCATTGCCGATCCCCCCGACATCGCGGGAAAGGCAAACGTGCTCTCGGGGATCCTTCGGGACCCTGGGGGCCTTCCGAAGGTCACCGTGCAAGTTGGGGCCATGGGGCCAGACAAGCAGAGTGGACAAAACCGCATCAGCGACCTAGTCCCGTTCTGTGTACAGCTAGGAGGGTGGCAGCATCTCGGGATGACCCGCGCCTCTCTGTAGCCTCCTTGGTAACAACATCAGGCCAAGATCTCCCTCTGGTAAGGCACTTGGCCTGTTCAGGCTCATCATGCTCACTAAAATGTGATTTAGCTGTATGGGTACTCACATTACGGGTGCTGGCACCCTTGATCCTTCTCCAGTGGCCTGGCTGGGCCGCCTTGCCTCTAGAGGCCCTCAGGGGGCTTCGCCTTTCCCGAAACAAGCGCCGCGCAATCAGCATGCACTTCGGTGGCACCCTAGGTATGTCCGACAAAGCGCATAGGGCCGCGGAGTTCAGCGATCGCAGCAGTATGAGGAAAGCGTCCAAGGATGGCCCCCCCCCCGACATGTTGCGGACAAGCTTACCTTCAGAGTCTGTCTCGATCGCGGCCCATCCACCTTTTGCACCAACGTCCTGACCTTGGGTCCAGGACCGAACCATGCGTGAAAACCCTTGCCCCCTTGGGCGGAATTGGAAGGCTCAGTAGACCCGTTGGCGTCGACATGATGAACCTAATCCTCGACTGGGCCCCCCAGCTCCGTCTCAAGGATGGCCAGCCACAGTGTGTTGATCAGCTGATCGTCCCCGCCTGATGAGATAGTTTCCCAACTGGGTTCGGCGTCAACTTCGATAATCAAAAATCAATACCCAAAAACCAACTTCAATAATCAAACATACCCTAAACTAATCAATCACTAATCCGAAAATGGTCCCCGGACTATGTTTTGACTATGCTTGAACATATTCCCCTTGTAGAGGGACATGCCCGACTTTAGCGTAGAAGAAGCCGAAGAAAGGAGGGCAGCGGTACGATGCCGAACAACATGTGTTGTCCCAAACCAACAGCGGCCGCTGTTGGGCAGGCGGCCACCTGTCTCGAATGGACACAGGCGGCGTGGACAGCGAGTCCTGTTCAAAATGACCAGGAAGGGACAGACCCTCCCCGCATTCCTATAATCCTACCACGAAATGTTCGTAGAACCCAAACCTGATCTAAGAACAAAAACAACGTGCTTAGAACACAAGCCCGATGTGTTGAAACAAGACAGCCCCAGCCAGAAAGGTTCGAAGAACACTTCGTCGAAACCACACAGGGTCCATCGAACATTGCTTAGTCGGGCTATAGGCGAGCCAGGACGCTTCGCCACTGCTTGACTGTTGGACATCTTTCGGCCGTGGACAAACCTCCCTTTAATAAACCTCCCCTTAGTGAAAACGGCCTGGGACCGAAACCGACGGACCTGGACCCGCAAAAACGACGGCCGCGACGCCCTCTCGCGAACCGAACACGGCCAATTCCTTAATCGACGTGTCAGGTAGGAGGTCTGTCCACCCTCGAATCTTCCCCATTCGTTCCGCATCCGTTTCGTTCGTGCCGAGCGGCCCGGCGGGGCCGCGGGGAGATCCGCCGGCGGAGGCGCCATGCCGGGCTTCCCGCAGGCCTCCAGCACCTGCGGGGCCGGCGCCGGGGGTCGGAGGGCAGAACTGGGGGCCGACGGGTGCACATTGAACTAGCTCCTCCTTTTCCTCCTCCTCCTCCTCCTCCTCCTCGTCTTCCTCCTCCTCCTCCTCCTCCTCTTCCTCCTCCGGTTCCTCCTCCTCCTCCTCCTCCTCCTCCCTCCTCCTCCTCCTCCTCCTCCTCCTCCCTCCTCCTCCTCCTCCTCCTTTCCTCCTCCTCTGCTTCTTCTTTTCTTCTTCTTCTTCTTCTTCTCCTCCTCCTCCTCCTCCTCCTCCCCTTCCTCCTCCTCCTCCTGCTCCTGCTCCTGCTCCTCCTCCTCTTGGTTCTCCTCCTCCTCCTCCTGCTCGATGCTGCCGATCGGTTCGTCTTCCTCCTGCTCCTGCTCCCGCTCTCGGGGGTCCGCGCAGACTCCTTGGGTCTCCAGAGACGTAGCCTCTTGCCCCCTGGCCAGAAACTGCCAGCAACATATCCTGACTCCCCTGGTCTAACCACCACACTAGTTTCACACTGGTATCGCCATATCCTCACCACTGGCCAAACACTGGAAGAAAAATATCCTCACCCCCTGGCCTGAACTGCCAGCGAAACAGTGAGCTTCACCCGCTGGCCCAAGAATGGCAGCCAAATATCATCCCACTGCCCCCTTCGCCAAACATTGCCAGCGAAATATCCTCACCCACTGGCCTGAAACTGCCAGCGAAATACCCTCTCCACCCTGGCCTAAAAATGCTGGCGAAATATCCTCAACCCCTGGCCCAGAACTGGCAGCGAAATATCATCGCCTCCCTGTCCTACACGAAAATGCAAGCGACATATCCTCGCCCCCCTGGCCTAAAGGTGCCAGCGACATTTCCCCGCCACCCTGGCCTAATAAAAATGCCAGCGAAAGATCTTCAACACCTGGCCAAAACGTGCCAGCTAAATGTCATCGCCCCCATGGCCCCCTGGACACAACACTGCCACCGACACATCTCACCCCCTGGCTTAAAATTACCAGCGAAATATTTCCCCCCATGGGCCTAAAACTGCCAGCGAAGTATCCTCTTCACCCTGGGTCCCCTGGCCTAAAACTGCTAGCGAACTATCCTCACCCCTCTGGCTCCAAACTGGCAGTGAAATATCCTCACATCACTGGCCTGAAAGTCCCAGCGACGTATCCTCAACCCCTGGCCCCAAACTGGCAAGGAAATATCCTGTGTACCATATGCAGTTGGGGGTACCACGTTGTGGGTACCACTTTCGGTGGAGCCCCCTGTGGGGCCACGAAGCGCTGTACTGGGCGGGGGGGGGCGCGGCCGCGGCGCCTAGGGACTTCGGTGGAGCCCCCCACCCAGACATCCGGCTGCTCCAATTTCTTTGGTGCGCGGACCCAGGAGGTCTGGACCACTTCCCTGGGGCCGGTTTTTCGTCCTGAGTCGTTTTTTGACGCTCCCGAGGCCCGGCGAGGGCCCCCTGAGGCCGAAAACTGGCAAAAACCGCCCGCTCCGATTTTTTGCAGCGTCGGGTCTCAGGGTATGGGCACCAAAGTGCTACACTGGGTGGGGGAGACGCATGCGGCCACGGTCAGTTGGGGCCACCGGTGGAGCTCCCGGGGTCCCGATGCGCCGTCTTGGGGTCGCTCGGCCGTCCGCGCCAGGGCGCCCAGCAACGCAAAAGAAAATGCGCTGCCACACAAACGCCTCCATTTTTTGGTCACCCCTGAGCCGCCCCGAGGGCACTTCCAGAGTTTGGGTAGGGCTGGGAGGTCAGCTCTGCAGAACAGCCCAAACGGACGTCAAGGGGCGCAACCAACCTGTTCGGTCAAGCTGGAATGGATGCATCACACCCGGCGTCAAGCCAAAACCTTGGACACAAACGAACGGATAGATGCTGCACATCTTCGTGAGCTTGACCGGCGAGGCGTTGGATCACCTTGACGCCCCCTTTCTGGTGGTCCTGCAGAGGGAGGCGCTCCCCTGACCTTCCAGAGAGCTATTTTTTAGCACTGGAAACCTAAAAACCTAAAAAACGAGACGAAACAGCCTAAAACCAAGACGTAAAATAGCTTTGGGATAGGTTTTTACGTCGGGTGCTATTTTTTAGCCCTCCTGGAAGGTCAGGGTCTCTGACCCCTACTCAGTCCAGAGTGCCTTCGGCGCGCGCGCCCGCGCGCGGCGCCTCTCGGCGCCGCCCTCCTCCTCTGCGCGGCGCCAGCGTCGGGCGCGCAGTGCTCGCGGCGCCCACCGTCCGCGGCGCCCGGGGGCCTCCGGCGGGGAGCTCCCTGCGGCTCTGGGCCGCGGTGCGGAAACCACCGAGTGCTCCAGCAGGAAGTCACGATGGCGACGGCCACGACCGTCCACGGCCACTCGGCGGTGGACAGACCTCCCTTTCGTAGGCCTCCCCTCAGTGAACACGGCCTGGGACCGAAACCGACGGACCTGGACCCGCAAAAACGGCGGCCGCGACGCCCTCTCGCGAACCGAAAACGGCCAATTCCTTCATCGGCGTGTCAGGGTGGGAGGTCTGTCCACCCCCGAGCCATCAGGTCGGCCCCCCCTCCCACCAGGGCGCGAAGGCTGGCGACCGCCCTGCCACCCGCGCGGGTGCGGGCACTGGTGGACCATCACTGCAGCGAACGGATCGCCTGACGCAGCACATCGGGGCTGCCGGGCAACAGCCACATCGGAAAGACGAAAGGGGTCCTCCTCGTCAGCATCACATCGCATTCCACGAACCCTGCGCAGCCCCTCCTGCAGAAGAAGACGAAACCCCATGAGCATAAAATTCTGGCGCTCCGCGCCTGCAGAAGAAGACAAACCCCCATGAGCACAAACTTCTGGCGCTCCGCGCGGATTTCTTGGATCTGCGCTGGGCCCCCTCCCCCCGGCGGCGCCTCCGGCGCCGCCCCTGGACAGTCGGGAGCGGCCAAGAGGGGGGTGTCCAAGAGGGGGGGGTGCAAGTCATGACCGGCGGCATGTGCGCGGCCCAGCGGGGGGGGCAGGGGCGGAACGAAGTGAGAAGGGGCGCCGTGAAATCTGGGGAGATTCATCATGGCCCACGCCATGATATCCCCCCCCCCCCTAGTCATCACCCCCCTCGTTTCCGCCCCCGAGGACAGATCCCCGCGAGCCCAGCCCGCCAGGAACGACCTGCCGCAGGCCCTCCGTCCAGCCGCTCCTCGCGGGGCCATTCTCCCGGGAAGACTCCAGGGGCTCCGCTCGGAGCTCCCACCGCTGGCACGCTCGGGTGCCCGCCTCTCCTCTCTCTCTCTCTCTCGGGTGCGCTGTTCGTCTGTATCTCGTGCAAAGCCCTCACTACGTTGGGCCCTCTCAAGAGCCTGGGCGAACCGTGCCTGGGAGTGGCGGGAGCCAGGTAATAAGAGCAGGTGGGCTCTTGTCCTGAGAGGCCGTCACCCGAAGCTCAGAGGGGTTTCGTTGACGGCCGATGTCTCTGCTTTCGAGTGATCTTGATGGCAGGGGAATGGTCATGTACACAAAACAGATCTCGGGTGCGCCTGCGCGAGCAGCAGGCAGCGGTGCCGCGGCCCTTCGCCCTGGGCCGCTGCGGGGGGGGCCCGAAGGCGGCGCCAAGGCTCCCCGAAGTGCCGCTGCGCGCAGGCCCAACAGGCGTGCCGCTGGAAGCAGGGGGCGCCTGCAGGGCGGGGCGCGCCACGCCTCTGACCGCCACAGAGCCGAGGAGGAGGAGGAGGAGGAGGGGGAGTAGGAGGAAGAGGAGGAGCGAGGAGCGAGGAGCGAGGAGCGAGGAGGAGGAGGAGGAGGAGGAGGAGGTGGAGGAGGAGGAGGAGGAGGAGGAGGGGAGGAGGAGGAGGGAGGAGGAGGAGCGAGGAGCGAGGAATAAGGAGAGACGAGGAGGAGGGAGGAGGAGGAGGAGGAGGAGGAGGAGGAGGAGGAGGAGGAGGAGGAGGAGGAGGAGGAGGAGGAGGAGGGAGGTAAGGAGCGAGGAGGAGCGAGGAGCGAGGAGCGAGGAGCGAGGAGGAGGAGGAGGAGGAGGAGGAGGAGGAAGAGGAGGAGGAGCGAGGAGCGAGGAGCGAGGAGCGAGGAGCGAGGAGCGAGGAGTGAGAAGCGAGGAGGAGGAGGAGGAGGAGGAGGAGGAGGAGGAAGAGGAGCAGGAGGAGGAGGTTCGGCCCAGCCCTGTCCGTTTCGCGGCTCCTCACGCTGCAGCCCGCCAGGAGCCGGGGCAGACACGCTCGTGCGAGCTGCTGCGCTATCTCTCTCTCTCTCTCTGCTGCTGTTCTTTGGGCCGCGCCTGCGGCACGCCCTGGAAAGACTTCAACGGGTGAGGAACGGCATCACATACACTGTTTCGCGGTCGGGGGCGCCTGTCCCAGGGCGGCCTGAAAGTTTACACCCTTACGGTGGCAACGTAGGGGTAGAAACTTTCCAGCCGCTCAGGGGCAGGCACCCCCGGCGACGAAGCATGTTATCATATACCTTTCTCCGCACACTAAAGAATTTCGAGGCGGATCCAGCCGTGTCGACGAGAAGTTCCCTGGATGCCAAAACATGTTCCAGAGCACCCAAGCACCTCTACCCTGGATCCTCGACCCTCGATCCTCCTACTCCTCCACTCGATCCTTGATCCTCGATCCTCCACTCGATTCTCGATCCCCGATCCTCTGTCCTTGAACCTCTGTCCTCTTCCCCCGCGCAGTCCCTGGGTCTGGCCGAGCCTCCAGCTGGCTCATCAGGTCGCCGAAGAGGTGGTAGCGCTGCATGTCCTGGCTCGGCCCAGGGGGGGGGGGGAAGGCGATCAGAGGAGAACAGGAAGAGGAGTTGAGGGAGGGAGAGAGGAAACAAGGGGGGTTGGAAGGAGGACGAGGAGAGAGAGGGAGGGAGGGGGGGACAGGGGAGGAAGTGAGGGAGCACAAAAGGAGGGAAGGGGTGAGAAGAGAATGGGGAGGGGGAGGAAGGGAAGGGAGGTGTGAGGGTGAGGGGGCTTGCGATTGTCCCAGCGTTCCGTTCTAAAGACGGCGCGTCGGGGAGGGTGAGAGGGACCCTAGGAGTCAGCGGAGATGATCTCTCTGGGCCCCCATCGGCTCGATCTCGAACCCGATTTTCTCCATTGCGACGCCGCCGATGCATCGGCGATGCGGCGCAACCTCCGACCCCACTTGTTCCAGCCCCACCTGGGCGGCCTGGACTCGCTCTCCTCTGTCATCTTCCCTCCTCCTTCTACCCCTGGACTCTCCAGGGACATCCTTGGCCTTCCCCCCCCCGTCCGGGGCGTGGCGCTTCGCAGCTGAGGACGAGGCCAGGAATGGGGAGGACCCACTTACGACGGCAGCAGGGCGACCCCTCCCCGGGGGGCCGCGAGGTGGCGGACCGGCTGCCGGACCCCCAGCACACTTCAGTGATGCAGCGATCCACCCTGCAGCTCGGACCCCTCGGCGAGAACCTCACTGGGAAAAAACGCGAGTTTGCGGACCAGCCTCTCACCATCCAGTGCTGCAAATGCACTCGCTGTTCGAGAGACTGAGGCTGCGGGAGGGGGAGAAGGAGGAGGAAGAGGAGGAGGAGGAGGAGGAGAAACGAGGAGGAGGAAGAGGAGGAGGAGGAGGAGGAGGGAGGGAGGAGGAGGGAGGAGGAGGGAGGAGGAGGGAGGAGGAGGAGGAAAAGAAGGAGGAGGGGGAGGAGGATAGATCGATTGTGGGACCAAGTCCCGAGCGAGGCTGCGAGAATGCACGCGCACCGCCCAACAGCTGCACACATGTTGAAGGACCTGCGGCGCCAGGGTCTGTGAAGGCCTGAGCTTCAAGCAAGTGCTCAATGTTTCGAACAACCTGCCCTCCACCAAGGATGTTCCTGGACATCTATCTTCAGAAATACAAACTGGCATGATTGCCAGCGTGGACCCCAAACAGTAAGCTCTGGCACTGTGGATGTGTAAACTATGTGATGAACAAGCGTCCTGCGGCCTGTCTTCGAAGAACACATGCGAATCCTCGGGACACCCTCAATCGGCAACGGCCGGCAACGGACGGGAACATTGCGGATCCTCGGGGCGCCCCCCACAGGCGGCTACGGGCGGCAACGGGCAGGAAAGTGGCGAGTCATCTTCGGCGGTGGACAAACTTGAACAGGGACCGCCCGTCCTGGCATTCCTATAATCATACCACGAAATGCTCTTAGAACCCGAAAATGTTCTAAAAACAAAAACAATGTTCTTAGAACATACACCGATGTGTTGAAACAAGACAGTCCCGGCCAAAAATGTTCTAAGAACATTTCGTGGGAACCACAAAAGGTTATGATAACATTGTTTGGTAAGACTATAGGCGAGCCAGGACGCTTCGCCACTGCTTGACAAACCTCCCTTTCGTAGACCTCCCCTTGGTGAAAACGGCCTCGGCCCGAAACCGACGAACATGGACCCGCAAAAATGACGGCTGCGGCGCCCTCTCGCGAACCGAAAACGGCCAAATCCTTAATCGACGTGTCAGGGTAGGAGGTCTGTCCACCCCCGACAAATGGACTGGGGGGGGTCACGATCCGTACTTTTGACCCCTCCCCCCACTGCAACACCCCGGGGTGCGATCTGGGCGAAAACACGTTCTTCGCCGAGCACCCGGCAGGCAAATTCGACTAACACCGAACTAGTTGTGTATCTGACGTTTTCGATTCATGACATCAGCGGATTTGACGCGTGATTTTTTCGGTGCCGTTTCGTCTCAGAAAGAACTCGAATTGGTTCGATATTTGGGGAAAAATATACCGAACTCAACGGACAAAACAGTTAAAACAATACACCGGAAATGCGTGGTCACAATCACAATTCGCCCAATAATCAATCAGAAATCAGAAATACACCAGGAATGCAACCGAAAAGTAAACCAGATGCCCCCCAAGGTCCCAGATGACAGACGATCCCCACGGCGGCGGGTTGGGCCGACGGCGACTAACTTCCACGAGGTCCGCCTCCTCCTCCTCAGCCTCCGCCTCATTCTCCTCCTCATCCCCCCCTGCATCCTCGCCTGCGTTCCTCCGCCCGCACATGTGCCCCACCTCGTGAGGAGGAGGAGGAGATGGGGGACCCAACACATGAAGAGGGCGAACATGAGGAGGGCGAATCGCCCTGACGACGACGACGACGAGGAAAAGGGAGAAGGAGGAGGGCACCCATTTCCTGCGCCTCGGCCGCTTTGGCGCAAGGCCGCGCCGCGCAACCGCTCATGCGTGCTTGCCGCCATCGTCGCCGACCTCGTCGCCGCCCGCGTCGTGGCCCTCCACCTGGGATGATCGCGTGACAAATCGCTGCTTGGGACCCCCCTCCTGCCAGCACCGCCGGCGTCCGTTCGTGGCTTATCCCTCCTCCTCATCCTCCTCCTGTTCCTCCTCCTCCTCCTCCTCCTCCGCTTCTCCCCCATCCTTATCCTCCTCCCTCGTGCTCATCCTCCTCATCCGCCTCACTCTCTCGCCTCCTCCTCTCGTCATCTTCCGCCCCATCCTCCTCCTCCTCCCCTCCTTCTCCTCCTCCTCCTCCTCCTCCTCCTCGTTCTCCTCTTCGGGCCCCGCAGGGCCTCGGCGAACGCCAACTCGCGGACCAGGGTTGTGCCCATGACCCCCACAAGGCCCTGGGCGGTGATCAGCTCCGACGGGGACGGGTCGCGACCTGCCGCCTTTGGACCAGTCTCGTCATCCCCACCCTCCTCATCCTCATCCGCCTCCGCTTCCTCCTCCCCCACTTCCCCCATCAATACCATCCATTAACATTCGTCTGTCATCCTCGGTTCTATCTCCTCCCATCTCCCTGCTGAAGCATGAGTGCATGTCCTGCCTTCTGCGTTCTCCCGCCCCCCCCTCCCTCCACCCCCACTCATCCTCGCCCCCCTCGTCCTCTCATCCTTCATCCTGCTGCTCCTCCTCCGCGCCCTCGCGCCCTACGCATAATCCTCATCCTTCCACTGATTCTCCTCCTCCAATTTCTCTCCCTCCTCGCCCGCCGTCTTGCAGAGCGCGAGCGGCCAGAACACGCCGACGGTGTGACTCGTCGCTGTCGTCGACGGCGACGCCACTGCAGGAGGCCAAGAAGAGCAGGAGGAGGTCGCTGGACTTCAAGCTCTGCTAGAGAGGTCGGGGGGGGGTCTTGGAGACGCGCGGCAAGGGGCAAGGACCGGGGCCTGGGGCAAGGGCGCCAGGTTAGAGGAATCATTGGAAAAAAAAACCAACGGCCTTACAACCAGTAACTATCCAACAACCGTCCTCATCAAACAAGGGCGCATCCAGGGTCTGAACCTTCCTGGGCCACTGGGCCCACAGTCCGAAAAAGGAAGGAGTAGGAAGAGGAGGGGGAGAAGGAGGAGGAGGAGGAGGAGGAGAAGGAGAAGGAGGCGGGGCCCCTTCGCAGGAGGAGGGAGGATGAGGAGGAGGAGGAGGGGAAGGAGGAGGAGGACGAAGAGGAGGAACATGAGGAAGAGGAGGAAGAGGAGGAGGAAGAGGAGAAGGAAGAGGAGGGGGAAGAGGAGGAGGCGGAGAGGGGAGGAGGGGGACCCCGGACCCCCGACGCCGCGTTGATTTGTTCCCCGACGCCGAATTCCCCGATACCCGGCGCCGACGTCGGTCGGCGGCATGCCGCGGCAAGCCGGTGGCACGCCGCGCCGCGGCCAAGTCCCCTAGCCGACGGGCGTTGGACCGCGTGCCACCATGTGCATCCCCCATCCACACGTCGGTCCAACGCCCGCCAGAACACTCCGAGGATGATGCCTTGCCGCCACTTCGCCACCACTTCGGGACCCATGGCCGCGGGGGCGCAAACTAAACCTAGAAGGGCGGCCCGGGCGGCTGGCGGCCATTCCGTCATGGAGAGATGGGGATGTGGGATGTGGAGACCCCCCGAGCCACTTCCTCCTCCTCCACTCTCCACGCCGTCATCCTCACCCCGTCATCCTGCCCCCCCTCCTCATCATCAAGTGGAGGGCGAGAGAGGAGAACGAGGGCCGCGCCGCCGCCGGCCGCCCGCGGGGCAGCCGCGAGGGAAGGGCGAAAAACCGTCGCCTTCCTCGCCGCTTCAAGGGCCCCCCGAGCCCGAACCAAACCGGCGGCCTCGCCGCCGCATCTCCCCCTCTAGGGGAGAGGGGGGGCGAGGCCGCGGCGGGGGGCAAGGAAGGCGAAAGAGGGTCGTGACACCGCCGGCCGTCCGCCGGGCAGCTGGCAGTCACAGAGGGCGGGCGGAAAATCTGCGCGCGCCGCACCGCGCCTCCCGCGTCGCCGTCGGCGCGCTCCTAGGCCGCCGCTGCGGCGCCCGGCTGCTCTGGCTCAGGCGCGGGCGGCCCGGCCTCCTCGGCCCCTTCGGGGCGCGGCCGCTTCGCGGGCGGCGCCCGCGGCGGCGGCGTCGACTCCGCCGCGGCGGCCGCGCCGGGCGCCGCGGGGCCGCCAGCCTAGGGGGCTGAGATGAGAGATCGGAGATCATGGCCACGGCGCCCCTGGCTTTTCGTGCCACGTTGACGCCCATGGGGCCCTCCGGGCCTCGCGAAGGGTTCGGCGGGCACCGCGGGCCCCCCCCTGGAACTCCTGGAGACGCGCGGGGCCCCGGGCACACCTTGAGAGTTGGGAGAGATGCGTTGCGGAGATGGAGCGAGGGACATCAGAATTCAGAATCAAGGCCAGCCTCCTTGGCCGACCACTCGCCCGCCTGCTTCTCCAGGAACCTCAAGACGCCGCCGGGGAAGTGCCGGGGGGGGAATGGCGGGGGGAAGGGTGGGGGGGGCTGTATAAGACATGAGGGGCGGCGGGGGAGGAGGGGCGCGGGGGGGGGGATGATGAGGCAGAGGAGGGGGGGGGGGGCCCTCCTCCTCTCCTCCTCCTCCTCCTCCACACCCTGATCCTCGTCGTCTTCTTCCTCCTCCTCCCCCTCCTCAGGGGTGGGGTGGGGCGGTGTGGGGGGGGGGGGGGGGGAGAGGGCAGAGAAGGAGGCGAGGAGGGGGGGGAAGAGGCAGACAGGGGGGAGGGGAATGAGGGGGGGCACGATGAGGAACGAGCGGCACGAGGAGAAGGAGGAAACGGACACAGAGAAAAAGGGGGGGAGAAGGAGGCGGGCGAGGACCAGGGCGGGGGCAAGGCGAGAAGGGCGACGAAGAGGACAAGGACAATGGCGCGGGGGGCGATGAGGCGGAGGTGGAAGGGGGCGTCCTGCACCGCTGACTTACGGTCAGCCACGTCCGCAATGTTCTTGGTCAAGGCGCGAATGCCCCGCTTGATCAGGCCGGATCGCGCCCCCCCCCCCCCCCCCTCGCGCATCGGCCGGGCGACCGACGGGGCGCCCTCGATCGCGCCCCCGACGAGGAGGGCGGAGAAGCCAGGATGAGGACGAGGAGACGAGGAGGAGGAGGAGGGGGGGGGGGGGAGGAGGAGGAGGAGGATAGGGAAATGATAAGGAGGAGGAGGAGGAGGAGGAGGAGGAGGAGGAGGGGGACGGGGGAGGAGAAGGGAGGAGGGGGAGGAGGGCGGAGGAGGAAGACGAGGGGCGAGGACAAGGCGGTGGGAAACATCCCACCCACCCTTTCTCAGACAGGGAGAGCGAGATGAAAGGGGGGGGGGGGATGGGTATGGGATAGGGGATAGGGTAGGTCGAAGAAGATGAGGATGAGTAGAGGACGGAGGCAGAGGAGGCGGAGAATGGCCAGAATCCAGAATGACGGCGGGGCGAGGGAGGCATGCATAACACGCGTCTGTATGTGTATATATATATATGTATATATATGTATGTATATGTATGTATATATATATATATATATATATGTGCCACATGTATTTGAATGACTAGAGACGCATCAGAGAGAGAGAGAGAGAGAGAGAGAGAGAGAGAGAGAGAGAGAGAGGGGGGGGAATGGCCATAATCCAGAATGGCGGCGCGCGCGCCTGCCTGCGAGGCCACCGGCCCGAAGGTCGCCAGGGCGGGCCCAGCGGGGATCGGGCGGCTCGCCGAACGCGGCGCGCATCGTAGCCCTCGCCTGGGGAGGGGGGGTCGGCGGTCGGAAGGGGCTAAATCACTTGGCCTCGCGCGTCGCGCAATATCTTCGCGCTCTCGCGCCTTCGCGCCGCCCCCCTGGGAGAGGGCGCCAAATTTGGCCCAGGGCAGCTCTCGCGCCTTCGCGCCGCCCCCCTGGGGGGGGCGCCAAATTTGGCCCAGAACAGCGACGCGCGAAGCGCGGTTTTCTTCGCGCCCCCGGGCCTCCGCGGGCGACCTAGGACGTCGGATTGAAATGGGGGGCGACGCGACGGAGAGGCATGGAGGGGCGGAGTGGCATTGCGAGGCGATAGGATGTGCGTCGCAGCCCCACCTAGCCCTCATGCGCGCGTCGCCCCTCAAGAGCCCCGCGGCGTCGCAGAGGGCCTTGGGTCCTTCGGCGACACAGCGTGCAATGGATCACCTGGGGAGGGGCGGGGGCTCCTCAGTTATCATGTCATCATCTCCCCCGTGCCCCCTGTCGCCCCCTCTCTCCCCCCCATCGCACTCTCGTCATTTCTCATCTCACCCCTCGGCCTTGACACCTACCATTGCGTTGGCCCCGCGTGACCTATCGCGGAGTAGTCGAAGATGGCAGTGTCCGACGCGCCGCTGGTCTCCACGGCAATGTTGACGGGCACCCCGATGCCATTGATGAAGACACTCAAAGCTTCCTCCACGATTTCACAGATAGAGACGATGACGTCGGTGGCCCCCTGCAACTCTCCTTGCTTAGTCATGCCAAGCCACTCCCTGCACTGGCCGATGATGTCGGAGCGAACCATGTGGAGACTAGGGTCGAATTCGTACGCGATCGCAAGATGATCAAGCGTCTTCGATAGCTCCGCGCGAGTGGTCAGTGTATCGCAGCTCTCCGAAATGGACGCCATCGCCGTTGCACAAATCTCCCACTCGTGCACATGGATCGTAGTGGGATCGGGGATCTCAGAACTTGGACGTGCCCTCAGCTTGAGCAACACTGGAGCCCAAATCAATGCGTCCGCGTTGGCCGTCACATCAGCGTTGCCGTCCTGGCGGGCAATCACTTGAACGTGCTGCAGAAGTGGCCGGTGCACGTCGGCGAAATGGTATGTGAGCTCGCAGCTGTCAGACCAAGCTTGGGGGCGCGTCATCGCGAGGTCGCCATCGCCAGCGGGGGTCTCCAGGAATTTGTCGACGGCAGCCGTAGACAAGTCACTGAGCTCCAAGGCCGCTGAGTGCGCGGGCTTGAAGACGACGCCATCGGACACCAGCTGGCTGCACTTCAGCGACATGGAGATCTCGAGGCCCTCGAGGTCCCAGGTGGGCCAAACGGTCGTGCCCCTTTATGCCATATGTACTATGTCTTATGTATAAGAATGGGCCAATGACCGAAGGGGGGGGGGTAACCTCCCGACGGAGCGCCCCTATCCCCTATCCCGCCCTCCGACCCCCCTCCTCAGATTCCACCTGCACCGTGTCATCGCCCCCCATCCACCCCCCGCCCCTTCCGACGACGCGCGCCCGCCCTCCCGCCCCCCCTGGTGAATCCAGGGGGGGGGGGGGGGGACTATTACACCATCCCCCCTCGTCCGCCTTGTCACCGTCCCATCCCCCCTCGCCCCGTGCGTCGCC